CTGAATGTGTGCCTCTTCTCTCCATGCACTGTCCCCCAAACAGATTAATTGAACCTATCAAAATTTAACTTCAGCAGAGCACAGCTATAGTTTCTAGTTCAAAAGGAATTTAGAACCGCTATGAATGACCTTGATAATTGACACCATCAATAGTTTGAACTTCTATGAACTCACCTTTGTACTGTTATTCCTACAGGCATGGCAATAGCTTTACTCAATTTTGAATTTTATAAGTATAACCAACTTTGGTCTTTCATGTGATAAGCGGAAACTTAGGGCACTTTTTTCCCAAAGGAATAATGAAGTCTGAAAACTTGGTATTCGTGACACACAGAAGTACAGAGCAGATCTATAAGCATGTAGCAAATGGACAGATATGTCATCATACACCCCCATCGTAGAAATATGAAAAAAACCACCACCTCCCTCAAACAGTGCATCTGACAGTGGGTGTGTTGCATTATGTTCTCTGGCTTTATTGCTAATCCATTTGCAAATAGGTGGGCACAAGGAGGATGGGCGATGGCACAGTAGTCGGGCTCTCTTCCCTGCTGTGTTATCCGGTGAAGTGGTGCTTCTTGAGCAACCGTGTCTCTTGTGGCTGGGAGTCAGGTTTGGGAGACAGGTTGATATTAGCAGCTCTGTTGTTTCAGAAAGCAGAGAGCTGGGCTGTTGGTGAACAGTTTCTTAGGGATCTCTTTAGGGATTTCTCACAATCCTTTGCATGGCTTTGGGATTTCCTAACATTGCATGTTTGCAGGGAATGTAATTCTTTCCACCATACTGCGGGGTTGTTTCTTCTCAAATGTTTATACTACCCCCCTACAATGGGAGCCCTTTCTCTTCCACGTTACGGTCATAATACACTTGCATCACTTGTGTTTAGGTTTTTAATTCCTTTTCCCTCCCTCTGAAAAGCATTCCATATACTTCTCCTGGAGTTCTAGGAATAATAATAAAAAGAACCCTATTCCTCTTCCTCTTGGTCTCTTTTTCCTTGTTTCTTCATCCTTCTAGTGCTTTCTTCCACTCATCTTTATTAGCAGAGAGGAGCTGTGGGGAAGAGGGAGTCTCCTTGTCTAGATTACGAACACTCAGGTAGGACATAATCTAGTTCTTGAATCCAGGAGCTTTGCAGAAGGATGTTGGTTGGAACTGGCCATATCAAGGGAGGAGGATTAATGTGTTTTGCATTTGGGGTTGCTTTTACAGCCTTCTCTGAATGTGCCAATATAAATCCAAAACTAATCCACTGCAAACAGAATTTCCCTGTGTAGAACAGTGCAAAATAAAGGAGATTTGGATTGTTAAACAGGCTATTTAATTCCACTTGTTTTCAGTTTTCTGTATAAATGATCCTATTTGCTCATGGATCAAGTCAAACTTGATACTTTTTTTTTATTCTAGATGTTTGTGGCAAAGCACTGTCCAGCTCTTGTTTATGTCTCAATTTCTTCAGTCCGCTGGAAGAGGTTTTCTTTGATAGTGTGTCAAAGCTTATTGAAGTTCTTGACATTAACTACTATATTAAATATAAAATATTGCATCCTAAAGTTGTCTTACTCTAGTTTATGTGAGTGTTTTCTTTTGTCTGGGAATTTTACAGACATGTTGTAAGGCAGCTGCAGTTGGAAACCTGCTGCTGTGTGTTGGAAGACAGCTGAAGTATTATTCTTTGTGTGTGCTTTCAAACTACTATTTGGCTGAAGACAGTGTAGTGATTCTTCAAGTCTGATATGTCAGAGTGTGCTGACGAGGAACTGTTTTTAACAGAGGTGGTTTATTTAATCAGTCTTGTTAAGCTGTTTTGACCATTCAAGCTGGTCTGACGTATCTGTGCAGGGCCAAGTCTCATTGCAATCCTACTTAAAGGCAGTTTGTAGGCTATTTTCTTTGAAGACTGATGTTTTGGCCACAGACAAAGGGATGTAATTCTGTCTTCTGAGGTTTTGTTGATTTGTTACAAGGCGAACAGTAATAGCTGGGTACTTTACATTAGCAAAAGTAAGCTCTCAAATGTGACAACACTTCTAAAGTAGAATAGCGTATTGCCAATTGGAGGGAACACAGTAACCAAGCACTCTAAGCTCTATAGACCGTTGTTTTTTCACCTTGCTTTTGTGGTTGATTTTGGGGGAGTAGAGTACCCATAGCTACCTCAATGATCAGATTGGGCTCTGGCTGTACTAATGCCTTGCTGGTTGCATGTGCTCACTGCCCCTGGGGCTGGTATTGGGTTTTTTCAGCGTTAAGGAGGACATGATTTAGACCAATAGTCTCAGGGTAAAACACTCAGCGAAATAGGATGAAGGTGACTACAAGCATTTCTTACAAAAGGGAAGACCCTTCCCCCCAGTCCTCAACTTCATGGATCAGACCAAGTCATGCACTTCATCCTGGTCCATTCCTGCTCAGATGCAAACCAGGAATGGATATGGTTGGCAGCACGTGGCTTAAGTAAAGCAAAATCTGTTAACCCTAACAAAAATTGAGATTTGTTGCTAAACACCTAGTTCCTCTAATATTCCTTTCCTGGTTTAATGAATCCTGAATCTCGAATGCTCTGTTTGTAGTATAAATGGAAATCAATAGCTTTGATAATAAAATTTATATGCATAATGCAGTCCCCTATGGATAAAGGTTTGCCTAACTTAATAGAGCTTACTCAATATTAGTTACTCCTTGACCTCATTAGGAAAAGATGGAAACTGTACTATCCTTACAAGCTGCAAACTCTTTGACACTTTGATCGCTGTTCTGATTGCTGTTAGCATTGACAGCTGCTGTACTGAAAAAAGGGAGGGCAACGTGAAACCTGGGGGCTGTGTGCGATACGGTATCGCAGCACAGGACAGCATGAATCCGCATTGTGTGCGATTACCGGACAGTAAATCAGCTGTGCTGTGCTGGAGCCAGAAACCAGTAGCTTTCACACTTGCTGCCTGTTTCCCACTCATTGTAAAGCCCTGCCCTATCACTTGATAGACCTGGAAAGGAAGCGCAGAGGAAGCGAGTGCCACTGCTGGTTCAAAATGTTCCAGGGTGACTGGAAAGTTTGAGCAACGGCCTGGGTGAGAAGAACAAGACCTTATTGACAGGGTTCAATCCTAGTCAAGTCTGTTTCCCATCAACTTCCTAAGTAATCACAGCCTTTCTTTTTTCATCTCCTTTGCACTCTCTGGGTCTCCCACTTTCATCTCCTTTTCATTTTATATATTTATTTATTTTAGCGGACTGAGCAACCAAGTATAATCGGGAAGTTTTCTTCCCTCTGATCGACCTCTAGTAAATTCTGGAGGAATTACTAATGAAAAAGATGACAACTACATTAAAGGTAGTTGTCATCCCCGCCTTTGTCCCAAGCTTCTCCAGAGTTTCCATTGCATATTCTTTTAACTTCTCCTTTTGATAAGGTCTTGTTCTTTTCATTTGGTGTACAGAAATACATACTGTTCCAGTGATGCCATGGCACACATAGTTTGTCATGTTCCAGATCAACCAGTGTCACAGACTGGTGGCTGTTGGGTTATGGCACTGTAAAGTTATGTGAACACACAGATATACATGTAGTGGAAGAAGCATGTAAGCTGAGACTTTTCCGTGGTTTCAAGGTCTTCTAGACTGTGTAAGACTTTATGAAACATTTATACCATAAAGCCACTCGCTTTTTGTAATGCTGCAGTTTTAACCGTAGAGCAACATGCCCCTTCTACACTGCACCATGCCATTCTGCATCATTTTGCCATCAATGTAGTAAGCAGTCTCCACTGGCAGTCCTGCTGCTCTAGGGCCTTCTAGTGCATCTCACATTTCTTATTTCGGTATGTTATTCTCCTTAAGCTGTCTGTGAGATAAGAAAAGTTCATTTAAACTGAGGTGAGGTTTTTCTCTGGAGAAACATGCTTTTAAAAAGAGGATGAAAGAGATGTCTGTTTAATTTTGCACTTACATGTCTCTGGCCATGATCACAGCAGAGCAGATCTACATAACAGAATTTAAGCATGTAAGCATAGGTGGCATCTCATGCTTTTATAGTCTTTATGTAGCAAGTCAATTGACTCTGGTGGAATACTCTCCCATATTAAAGGAACAACCAGTTCAAAAAATCAGTGAAAAGATGCAGATTCTTTGGGCATGGGTAATATTCACTGAATTGGTTAGCGAGCATTCTTCTGGAGGGGTAAACTTTGCTGGGTTTGTGATGGTGTGTACACATTTATAAGGATAATATGACTTGCTGTATTTGGTAATCCTGGCAATGGTGATGCCAGGAAAATTATCTTATTTCAGGAAAACATGCGCTAGCATGTGTTTTTAAGTATTTGCTTTTTGGGAGTTTAATAATTTGTTTGACAAGGACTTAAAAGGAAGGAAAAAAAGAAAAAACCCTCCAAACCAAAACAACCCAAACTCTCAACCCTCAATCTATAAAATGTGAAAATGGCTTTTATTCAGTAGTATAAATACAGGGCGTTCTAGGGATATTTTTGAAAACTCAGGCAGGCAGAATTATTGCTGCCTTCAGAAAGCTGGTGGAAGCAGCATGTGTGCAAGGGAGACACGAGTGTGACACAGTGCTACAGAGGCACATTAGTTTTCAGAGTATGCCAAGCTTGCACCAATTTTTCTAGAATGTTTTTCCTTCTCTATCTCCAAAATAGTTAAAAATTCAATAACTGTGGTTAGGATATTTTGGAAAGATGTCCCTAGGCACTTTATAATGGAACTTGGGAAGAGATTCAAGAGACAGAAGTTCTCAACCAGCATTTGTAAGCAACTTATCTTAAAATATACTGCTTCTTAATCTAAAATTAACCAAAAAGCATCTATAGTATTTTTGGGTCAGTGTATAAATCTGGAGGAATCAAACTATATGCTTGTTACCCGGTCAACTCAGTGCAAATTTTTTTTTTTCTTCCCTTTTTTGAGACCTTAACCAGTCTAAATCTCCCAGGCCCATTCACTGTTTCTGACATTTTCCTATATCTTACTCTTCCCAGGATGGATCGTACTTGGCTGAATTCCTGCTGGAAAAAGGCTACGAGGTGAGTGACACGGTGACCGGCTGCGGGTTGATGGAGTCGTTTGGATGCTGCAGCTCCAGCTTCCTCTGCTTCTGTCCTTCTCTGTGTATGTTTTCCACTCCAGCCCTAGATAACAAATCAAAACTCCGGAGAGGAATGTGCAACATGGCCTGTAATCATGCCAGCTTATTGTACTATTTATCATCTAATGTCCACTGGTGGATTCCCTCTTCTCCTCAGGGTATAGCTGCTTTGCATGTTTCCCGCCAACTCAGATAAGCAGCAACCTGTGTGAGCCAAAACTGTAAGGAATTAGGGAATAATTTATGATGCAATGTACCACATAAAGGAATAAGAATCTCTTGTTTGTTCTCTTTCTCCCTCTCTCTCCACACTAGAGGCCCTTTTATTTTGGCAGTTATATTTCAGCAATGAAACCCTTGCATTTTGCTTTCTCTGTTTAAAAAGAAAAAAACAAATCAACCCAAACCCCAAAATACACTGTTAGTGTTATTTTCCACTCCTTCTCTTGGATTAATTATAGTCTTGCTTAGCACATAATTTTAATTTACCTTTTCCTTAAGATAAAGGGAGTCTGATTCCTTACTTCTTGCTGCAAAATTTTCCCTGACAAAATCGTCTCTTTTGTGGCCCAGCAAACCAACAATCACATTATTATGATATGATTTGATGGCTTTGAACTGTTGTGGGCATATATGTGAGAACGTTTGCCTTCTCAGTCATGACAGATGCTTCCAAAATGTATAATAGAAGGAAATGGGTGGTCGGATTAATATCCCCACAATGTAGTATTTTCTGGGTTTTTAGTAAAAGCTAATGCTCATTCTAATATTGGATTTTATTACTTCTGTTGTAATACAGCTTCATAGCTTAGTGAGAAGTCTCTTCTCGGCCAGCCAGTCTGTGCTTTCCATGCTTTTGCATGTGGTTAATCTTGCCTTGCTTGCTCCATTCTTTCTCCTGTTTTGTTGATTGATCTGCTTATTGGTGTTGGTTTTTCAGTGTTGTAAATCAATTATTTTTACTATTTCTTCATTCCATTTGGGGAAGAGACATAATCATTGTGGTTGCTTCTGCCACTTTAAAGGCAAAAACACATGCTCTCTCCTAGTCCACAATGAAATTGGGAACTGTGAACGGCAGCTAAAATGAAATATAACCCTTCCACAATAGAAAGGTTACAATAATTGGGTAGAGGGTTTTTTCTTCTGTTCCTCAACTCTCCATCAATTTGTTGGAATTCTTTTCTGTGTTCCCAGTTAGACCTCTGTTCCTGAATACCTGAACACAAGAGTACATGTGATAACTGATTGCCTCCCTAAGATGGCTCGTTTGACCTTTTTTTTAATTTGAATCTATTTAAAGGTCAAGCCCTATTGAGAAAAATCCACTGATCTTACATTCTTAACTAGATTAACCAGTTTGCACACATTTTGGCTTGTCACAAAGTTCTCATTTCACCTGTCCCATGCAGACAAAGGTACCTTTCATCAGGTTTTTTTACAGTAATATTGCTGTCATGGATTAAGCATTTGGCAGGTTTTCTTTCTCTTGTATGTGCATACCAGAAAAAGGAGTGGGAGAAAAAAGAGAAAAGGAGAAAAAAAAAGCTGGGTTTGTATGTTTTCTTGTTATCGCTGGATGCAACAGGCTTTCTGGATTTGTGTGTTTGCTGAAACTTTTTGAAGTCCTGGGGTGATTGCATTTAGCACATCTCATTGGTCAAATGTTGGTATCACAGTCATTCAGCTGACACAAAGCTCTTGCAAGCACAATCTTTCATCAGGCTTTGAGCTGGCAAGATTTGACTTATTGGTCAATCATTTGCTTGAACTTGAATTTCAGCATGACTTAATTCAGAGAGACATAATTGAGAGCTCAAGCAGTCTCTCATCAGGACTTTAAGCCAAAATATTTAATTTTTCTAGAAGAGTTGTAGAGTGTTTCAGTTAGCGTCCTTTAGAACAATTTGATGCTTTAAAATTGTGAAGTCTGTTTTTTACCTCGCAAAACAGGTGTTCATTTGAGTACTCAAAATATTTCCAGCATCTTTTGCGAAAATTAAGTTATTATGGGAGTGTTGCTTTTTGAAAGTGTTACTCTGTAAACATTATGTCCCTATAAATTATCCATACAGCCTATAAATAATTATTTTGATAGGGCTTTTAACTGCATAACTTTGAAAATCTATCTTCATAAATTCATTACTTGATGGAAATTTCTTTTGGGGGCCATGTTTCTCAGCTCCCCATTGATCCTCAACATGCAAATATTTTACTCGGTTCTGGAAAGTTAGCGTTTGAATTGTAGAACAAGGTACGTTGTGAGCTTTTTGTGTGGCTGGGCACACAAGATTTTATGCAAGGAAACTGGCATCATAGATTTGACTTGCAAGTTGTAAAGATGAAGCTTGTTCAGCTCTTATTAGAGATCTTGCCACCAAAATGTTACTGTTAAAGCAGCAAACTGGTCTCACTCTGCGGTTGTGTATACCTTTTTACTCAGTTAAGTTTCAGACTTAAGATGGAATAAAAAGTGTTTTCTGTGTCAATAACCATAGCTTGTGTTATGTGTAAAACAAAAATCCCCAAATAAAACAAAACCAAAACCCCAAACACTGCCTGTTCCTGCTGGTATATTCTCGCAGGTACAAGTTAACATGAAATGAGAGACTAAAGCGATGGCCCAACCCAACCAAGTGTAGGACTCATCAAAAAGGGATCATTTTCAGAAATATAGGTCAGGGAGATGTGGAGGACAGTCAGATGCTGAAGCTTGATTCACTTGTGCAAGCACAACTCCTGCAGCTGGTAACCTAAACTAACATGAATTTTGGCAGCAGGCATGGAGCTATCTTGCATAAGGAGGAAATGGGATCAGTGGTTGAACAATTTCTCTAATGTATTAGAGACAAACGGGCTTTTCTTTAATGTTAGTCAGTGTCCTGGTTTCAGCTGGGATAGAGTTAACTGTCTTCCTAGTAGCTGGTACAGTGCTATGTTCTGAGTTCAGTATGCGAAGAATGTTGATAACACTGATGTTTTCAGTTGTTGCTCAGTAGTGTTTAGGCTATAGTCAAGGATTTTTCAGCTTCTCATGCCCAGCCAGGGCACCTGACCCAAACTGGCCAACAGTGTATTCCATACCATGGGACGTCCCATCTAGTTTAGGAACTGGGAAGTGGGGGGGCAGGGATTCGCCGCTCGGGGACTGGCTGGGTGTCGGTCGGTGGGTGGTGAGCAATTGCCCTGCGCATCATTTGTACATTTCAATCCTTTTATTACTACTGTTGTCATTTTATTAGTGTTATCATTATCATTATTAGTTTCTTCTTTTTATATTCTATTAAACTGTTCTTATCTCAACCCAGGAGTTTTACTTCTTTTCCTGATTTTCCCCCCCATCCCACTGGATGGGGGGGGAGTAAGTGAGCAGCTGCGTGGTGCTTAGCTGCTGGCTGGGGTTAAAACACGACAGTCAGAACCAATGGGGTTTTTTTTCACTGACTTATTTATCGTGGCTGGTTAAAGGAAATTCCCAACCTGCGTTTCAGCCTTAGGCTTGCCTACGTGTCTCGTAACCCACCGGAGAACACTGACTCATGAAGTCCACAAAACAGCACTGACTGTTCTGGCTCTTTTTCCAACACCCTGGGAAGTGAATAACAGCTGTTTTCTAAAATATATTTGGGCCTTGCAGCTGCTGCCCTTTCCTTCCCCTTGTCTTTTTCTTCCCTTCTTTCCTCTCTGCTCCCTTTCTCCTTTCCCTAGCCCCATTTGTTGCTGCTGCTTTTCCCATGCCCATCATCTCTGGCTCCAGAAAGACTTCTCTGCAACCTGGGAGAAATGGTTATCTTGGAATTCACATATTGCTTCTCCAGCTCCAGTAACATTGGCAAGTCGCACTCGGAGATGGTGCTCTAGGGCAATTCAGTGTGTTTTCTGTACTGTGTGTGATGCTTGGGTTGCTAGTGGTGTCACCAAGGGAGAAGGTGAAACCACTCGAGGGTACTGAAATAAATGACAGCGTCAGAGCTCATCTCCAAGTATTTTGTTACCATTTGGATAACTGTCTGCCTTTAGGAATAGAGACAAACTCTGATTACCTGATGTAAGGCTTAGGCTCCCGTATATGAAAAGAGTGATGATGATGATGAACATTTTCTCTTAATGTTTACCACTTTCCTTTTGTATTTTTCATTGTTCAATCCCCAGGTGCATGGCATCGTTCGTCGGTCTAGTTCTTTTAATACAGGCCGGATTGAACATCTCTATAAGAACCCACAGGCTCACATTGAAGGAAGTAAGACTTTGTTTTTATATTTAAGTTTGGTTTTTTTAGTCTGTGGTGTGCGTTTGGTGGAGAAAGGTCCCCAGGAGTAGGAAGGGAATCCCAGTTTCCTCTACCTAAATGTTGTTAACAAGTAATTATTTTTTAAGCTGTGCTTGACATAAGGTTGGTTATTTAAAACAAAAAAACAAACAAAATTCCTTGATAGCTAAGCTTCTCTTTTCTCTGTTTGTGTTAGCTAGCTGCTCTATCTCAGAAAGAAAAGTGACAATTTTTCTCTGATAAAAATGTGACATAAAGTATAGATATTCTTGTGTCTGTGAGTTACCAAGAGGGGCCAGGAAGGCAATTTCTGCTGTGTAGAAATGCTGACACAGTTCACACATAGCTAGGCAGCAGCAATTAGAAAATGGCTGGGCCTGCAAAAAGCTATGAGAGGTTGAAAACACTGAGATATCAGAATAGTAAAATGGGTTTTTTAGAGGCAGTTATCTTAAGCACTCCACTTCTGTTTCCTCATGAGCTTCTTAGTGCCTGATGGAGGTGAAGGTTTGGGGACAGCCTGTATGACAGCATGAATAAGACATGATCAATTCTTACTGATGACAGGAAGAATGAATCTTTGGACCTTCTGAATTTCTACACCCAAGGAAACGATTACCTGTTTTTCCTGAAGGAAAGGCATTGCTCTTGGAAATTTGCTGACAATTTACTGTATTCTCTGTTACCGTTGATAATTTGGAAAGCTGAAATTATTACCTTTAGTGTACACTTTGCAAAAACTGTTTGAGTATTTTACCTTAAAGAAGGTTAACTAGTCACTTAATGAGAAGAAGCTCAAATGTTGGATGGCTCCAGTTCAGCAAAGGGATCGAGCATTTTAACAAGCATATAGTTCTCTATGCTATGCATATTTTGTAGAGTTGTGCAGACTGATACTGTCCTAAATAGTCCAATTTAAGGTATTGTTATCACTAAATATCTCCATGCTGTAAATAAATCTCATGTCTTTTGAAGTCTGCTTCCCACCATGGTTAAACAGAGCCTGTTTTTATGGAATTGTAATATATAATGCAACTTTTAGATTTCACTTGATCTTTGCTTGTAATTTTTAAAAAATATTTAATTTCTGACATGACTTCAGTGGTATTTGCTGTGAATAGTTGCTATTTACTGTACATTGCTCCTTAAAATATCTGACAAAGAAGGATAAAATTGAATAAAATATCTTCATGGAGAATACTGAAACCTGTGCTTCCGTCAAGGACAACGTAAGAACTGTGTTTCCTATGACTTACGTTCATGGCTCACAAGGTAAAATCAAGCAAAAAAATCAAATGGTAACCTGTGCATTGTGAGGACCACCTTGTGAATATGAAAAGTGATTTGAGAAGACAATGTAGATTGTGATAAATATGTATATGCACATTTAAGGAAAGGGATGGAAGAAAGGAAAAAGAAAGCAGACCTTAAAGTTTTTCCCCACTTATCTTATTTTCCTTTAACTGAGGAATGCAGCCATATGAATGGGAGGAGGAGGAGGAATTGGACTTGGAATCTCAGGAAAGGCTGCTCCATGGAAACTGTTTGGAAACAATGGGTTTCCAGGCAGTACTGGAGGAAGCAAAGAAGCAATAGTTGTTGATGTGAGCAAACCCTAATTTTGTCTTTGCCCAATGTGTTCTTCCCATGAGTAATTGATTACATGTTGCAAGATGATGATCTTCATAGACAGTGAACCTCTTTATACAAAAAAAATTAGGGAGAACAAGAAGGAAAACAAGGTGTTTCCTGAAGTGAGCCCTCCAGCTGTTGCTTGCTAAGGAGGTTTTTAGATTGGATAATACTACCAAACCCCAAAGGTTTTGGCACTTGATCTGTGTTTATAAATCTTTGCACCAAATAAACCTCATTGCTAGTAACTCTTTCCACTTAGCCTATTAATCCTGAAAGACCTCTTTTTCATGGGTCAGAAAATGAACAAAGCCTCATGCTCTGCTCTGCTCCCCTTAAAAAAACCAAAAAAACCCCCCAAAAAACCAAAAACCCCACCCCAAAAACCAACCAAACAAAAAAACCCAAAAAACCCCCAAAAAACCAAAACAAAACCAAAAAAAACCATTTGGACAAGAAGCTTTGAAGACTTGATGGTAGACCAAAATGGGCATTCCCCTTCAAGAGCTTTAAATCTAAGGTAATGGTGGGAGGGTATCTCTGATGCTTGGCTCAGCCCAGCTGGCAGCCCACCTTCCCCTGGGAAGCTCTGAGACTGCCCTCTGGCCTGGGGATGGTGGCAGAACTGGATGTCTTTGGTGTAGGAAGAGGGAGCCTGGCTGTGGCACCTCTCTCCTGCCGAGCTGCTGCTTAGGCTGGAAAGGAACCGGTTGTTCTTTCACACCCTAAGGCTCCTACAGAGCTGCTGCTGCTCCCTGGGCCTCCTCTTGTACCAGTGTCCTCTGCTCCATCCTCTCCAAAAGGCTGGTTCACCTGGCAGGGAGATTTCGTTTAACTTCCAGCCAAGGTAAGCAGAGGAAGAAGAGGGCTGCCCGGTGCCTAGGGGAAGCTTTCCTTTCTGGTACAGAAAGGGTAGTGCATTTGGGTTCTTCCCTGCTCCCATCAGTCCACAGAGTTGTCCTGAAAAATGTGGTAATTGCCATCAGAGAAATTGGTTAGGTGGTGCTTGCTCTTGGTCTCTGTTCAGTGTTGTAAGAAAAATGTCACAGTTGTTCAGGTGGTCTGGGCTCCGACAGTTTTGAGGATTGCAGGTGAACACTGATATGCAGATAGAACTATCCTATAACCATTCGGGATCTTGTGCATGCTCTGGCCCACAGGCAGAACTGGTTTCATGTATTGAATTTCATTTGGGAAGCAGAAGAGTTGCATTCCGTACAAGTGGAAATGTGGTGGTGGTCCAGCACAGCCTGTATAGAACTGGTGGCAGGAATGAAGGCAGCCCACACCACGGATAATTGATGTCTGTGCACAAGAAGCGTCATAACCTGCTTGCCAGCCGTCATATTTAATGACAGCTATCTCTTCCTTTTAAAAAAAGTTGCATTACCATTCCCTTACCTCTTAGCTATAGCTTCAGCTGGGTCTTGAAGTCTCTTCAGAACTGTCCTTCTCAAGCAATGTGGATGTAAAAGCAGATTTCAAGAATATACTGTGACCTGCTGGGCTGTATCACTTTATCAACCTGAAAAGCCTCAAGTACCTGTTAAATAGGAATGTGCAAAGCTGAACACCTGAGAACTGCATGATTTGTTTACTTCTTTGCTGCCTTAAACTGTTAAAACAAACAAACAAACCATAACCCCCCCCAAACCAGCTTAAATAAAAACAAAATTTGCATATCTCTACAGCATTTAAAAAAAAAAATGTACTGTGGATTCATATGGTAGTCTTTTGTAATAAACTTTTGTATTTCTTGGTTTCAGGATTAAAAAAAAGGAAAAAAAAAATCACGTTGATTATATCCGTAGATGATATAGCCCCCAAAAAGTGGTGGCTGTTATCAAATGGGAAGACCATTAAAATGTAGTGAAATAGGAATTTCTTACTTTTCCTGAAGATAGGGCAATATTTATAAATATATATTTAATTAATAATTTAATAATTAAATATAAATAAATTTACTAAGGTCAAAAACATCCAACAAATCTGTATAAATATGGCAAGTAAATGTAAACAGCCAATTTATCAATAGTTATAACAAGATTTTTCTTTTGTTGAATAGATATGTGAATAGCAGTGTGGTGGTTTGATCTTTTTAAAATAAGAGGAAAATGAGACCTGTTTCATCAGAATGAAGTTCACTTTTGGAATAATTTCTTGACAGGTCAGGGTCTGAAACAAAGGACAGGTTGATAAGACATTGCAGTCTGCTCTTTTAATTTTGACAGGAGTTGGTCTCATGCTCTTACCTACTTTTTCACACACAAATTAGAAAGTATCTGTCAGGAAAGGGTAACAACAGCTGTGTGACTGACGTATCTAACCACATTTGAGATTTTGGTGTGTAATATCATGAAGCATGTTTTATTGACAGTTACAATGTTCTCTGAAATTCCAGAGTGTATCTATATTTTTTTAAATGGAAAAATAATAGTAATAAATGCAGTGGGTTGTACTGTAATGTTACCTAAATGTTCATCTTGTACAGGTACTTTAGACATTTTTGTTGTGTTGTGAAATTATATTTGCAATGAGGAACTTAAACATGTGCAACATTTTGGGAAGGAGGAGAATGCTATTTATGTATGCTTAAGTTATTAAAAACATTTGTGAGTGAAAGACTGGAAGCCTAAACTAAAATAACGTGCTTTTTTTGTGGCTGAAATTCTGTGTATGACATTGATCTAGTTTATACAACCTGGGTTAATGAAGTGTAAACTATTAAACAAATGCTATAAATGTTGTTAGGTAAATCAGATTATTGAAAAGAGAATCTGAAACAGTATTCATTACTCCTGCAGGGAATTATATTTTGTGCTTAAAGCAGGGAAAAAATTGAAGCAAAACCTTGTTCAGTTGGTGATCTCTTAACATTTATTGGAAAAAGTTTACTTGGATTTTAAACCTGGAATAGGATTTGGACCAAGAATGCCATATTGTTCTGGGACTAAAGTGTATTAACTCTGTGTTCTTAAACTCTGAAGACATGAAGCTGCACTATGGTGATCTCACGGACAGCACCTGCCTGGTGAAGATCATTAATGAAGTCAAACCCACTGAGATATACAACCTGGGAGCTCAGAGCCATGTCAAGGTGAGTAGCTTCTAGCACTGAGAATTGTGACTGTGCATTGGTGGTGGTATACTGCTTTGATTCATTTCGGCTGCAGCATTTATAGCTGTTCTAACAACTGCTAACTTTGACAGGTAAACACTGCCTTCAGTCAAGATAGTTGTGTTGTGGTGCTGAATTGCTGCATGAGTCTTGCTACTGAATATGTATGAAGATGTCAGATTAAGTGAGGTTAAGTTGTCATTATCAACAAAATCCACAGGTTTAAAAATCTGATTTTTCTACCATGTGAAACAACTTTTGCTGTAGAGTTTGCTGCTGATCAGTCCTAGTGAAGTTATGCAGCGCTGTTAGGCCAAACAGTGCTTAGAACCACATTATTCTGTTTGCATTAAAATCAATATGTGTATCTGAGTGCATCACTTCTAGAAAGGCTTCGCCTATACCAGTTTTCATGCAGGTGCTATTCTTTGAAAGATTGACCTACAAATAGAGAAAACAGCTTTGCTACTACTTGCACTATTATAGCATTTCTGGGGTTTTGGTTGGAAAAATCAAATTACAGAAACTGAAACAAAAAGGACTTGTTGAAGATGAGTAACTTGACCCTGGCAAGTAGTGCTGTGTCGCAAGGAAAGGGGTGAATGTCTTCACCAGAGACCTGAACAGCTCTTACCATTAAACTTTGGCTATGTAAACTTAACTGGTTTTGCCTGTGTGCATCATGTTTGGGGAAGGAGGGAAAAGAACTTCTGATCTTAGCTTGCTTCACGTTCTGGTGACTTTGAACCAGTGACGTCTTCAGTATTTTTTGGTGGTGTTTATGTTGGCTTGTGTTTATGCAGAATGAAGTTTTCTATCACTCTCACTTCCAGTTAGTTTATGTGAGCCATGCTGAAATGAAGGAAAATAAAATAATAGGAAGTTGGTCTGGTTTCCTGTAGGAAACCAATGAAGATGAAATTGGTTCTTGGAATGAACCCACAGTAGTCTGGGAAATACTGTCAGAGAAGACGTTTTTCTGAATCATAAATAGTGAGGACTATGACTCATAAAGTAGGTCACTGAGAGGCTGATCTGATCTTGTACATGGGAGAAAGTGAGAGAAGACTGAAACTTGCTCCTTATTAAAAACAGTAAACTTAACAGAATGATATCATCAGTAGGAACAAATTAACCAGTGTGCATTCCTGTCTGTTTTGGTGAGAAATGGGGATTAGCTCTCAGCACTGTAGCTTCTCCTTTGGATGTTCAGAAAACAGTAGCACATTCACTTCATAGTTACTAAGTAAACAGTTTAGCCTCATTTTCTCTATCCAGTCTTTGTATGTCCTGCTGCATTGGCTGTTGGTGCTTTGGGAATCCAGTGTGCTGACTGTGATTTGTTTTCATTTAATTAGTTTTCATGGGAGTGATTGTTTACAGTATGTTGATTCTAACTAATAATCTATTATTGTGTATAGGTAACATGCAGATGGCTTAATCTAAATTCTGTTATCCCTAACTCTGGACTCATATCCCTCTGTTGAATGTCTTGAAAACCAATTCTCCAAATGCTAGGTTGGCTAAAATGATAGAAATATCTCTTCTTGCACAGTGTTTCAGTTGATGCAAGTTCATATCTATGTGTATGCAACTTTTTTTCTGAAGGACAAGTGATCTCATCAGTATTTGACTGTACTGTAAGATTTTTTTGTTTTGAGTTGTATTGAACTGGTGAAGCTGGCAAATATTTTTCTACAAATTTCTGAAGCAAAAAGGCAGTGTAACCTTAGTAAAAGTTCTCTTGCTTTCAGCACTTGAAACTTGTTGCGCTGAGCAGTTAAACATAGGTCTGAAGAAATGGCTCTGGTTTTATGGCTATTGCTATCCTTGTAGTCACATATTAAACAGCGTAGTCCAATTTGGCTGTAGCGCAGATAGCCCCAAATGTTCAGTTTACTTCTTTAAATTGTCTTGGGTAGTAGAAGGTTATTTTGCCTACTTGCTGTAGGCGTTTGTTGCCAGAAATTTTATAGTGAATGTGTTGTATGAGATACGAAAGTAATGGGTTGACTTTTCAGTGATAGCTGTCCCTTACATATGCAACAGGGATATATTATTGAAGAGTAAAAACTTACTTGTGTGTAACTACATTTAAAAAAGCCAGTAAATGCTCAGGTGTTTTTTTACCTTGCAAGATGCATACGGGTTTTTTTGTTCTTTAGTTTAGGGGATATTGAGGTTCTATTTAGTTTTAAGTCCTTGCAGATATATGGGAACTTGGAGTCACACAGGAATTAATTTTAAGAAGCAAACCCTACCACTGTTAGCTGAAAGGTGAAATGTAAAAATCAAGGGGCTTTTTTAGCATATGACCCCTCACTCGAGTAAGGTTCTCTTCATACTTGTATATTGAATGCAGCTTTATCTCTAGCTCCTCCATTTTTCCTTCTATATTTTTGTGCTGTCCAAAGAGGAGGCACTCAGTCTTGGGAGGCCTTTAGTTCCCTCTTTCCCCATGCTGGCAAAATTAAAGAACTTACTAATTTCTGATTATTTGGGGTGTTTTTATCTGCATCAAACACTGATCCCTAATTACTGTGAACCAAACATGTTATGAACTACTAACTGATTTCAGTCCCATGTCTGTTAATGTGACTACGTCTGTTTTCATGCTGCATGGAGGGTGAAGTGGCAGCAGGGAAGATGAAAAAAAAATAAATAGCAACAAGGTCTTCAGAGCCCAGGGAGGAAAATTCTAACTTATGTAAAAACCTGTGCCCACCTGTGTGTCTGCATCCTGCAGTTATAGCTTGCATGCTGGGTAGTGGGAAAGTGGGATTGCTGCTGGGAGAGGAAACTTGAAGTATACAAGCAAAAGTTTACATTGTGTAATTTTACAGAATCACGGAATGGTTGAAGGTTGGAAGGGACCTCTGGAGACTGTCTAATCCAACCCCCTTACTCAAAGCAGAGTCAGCAAGAGCAGGTTGCAAAGGACCTTGTCCAGTCAATTTTAAGTAGGATGGAGACTCCAAAAACTCCTTGAGCAACCTGTTCCCTCACCTGTATAGTTCCATCACCCTCGCAGTAAAAAAACAACACCCACCACCGCAAACCTTTTCGTATTATTGGATGGCATTTCCTGTATTCCAGTTGGTGCCCATTGCCTCACCTCCTGTCACTGGATACCAGTGAGAAGAGTCTGTCTCGGTCATCTTTACTCTTCCCACCACCCAGGTATTTTTATACACATCAGTCAGATCCACCTCTGAGCCTTCTTCAGGCTAAACAAATCCAGCTGTCAGCCTCTCCTCCTATGACAGATGTTCCAATCCTTCAGCCCTTTGTGGCCCTTTGCAGATCCATTATATCTGTACTGGGAGCCCAGAATTCACAGTGGCCTGTAGAGGCAAAAGATCACTTCCCTTGACCTTCTGGTGACACTTATCCTAATGCAGCTGAAGATGCTGTTGGCTTTCTTTGCTGGCTCATGGTTAACTTGGTGTCCAGCAGGACCCCCAGGCCCTTTTCTGCCAAGCTCCTTCTCAGCTGGTCACCCCCAGTATGTACTGGTACACGGGGTCACTCCTTTGGAGTTGCAGGACTTTGCACTTCCATTTGTTGAACTTTGTGAAAATCCCTTCTGCCCATTTCTCCAGCCTGTCGAGGTCCCTCTGAAGGACAGTATACCCATCTGGCATTATCAATCACTCCTCCCAATTTGGTATCACCTGCAGACTTGCTGAGAATGCACTCTGTCCCATTGTCAAGGTCATTGTGTTCCCTTAGGGTACACAATTAGTGACTGGACCCCAGCTGGACTTTGTGTCACTGATCACAATGCTAAGCCCAACAGTTCAGCCAGTTTTCAATCCACCTCACCGTCCACTTATCTAGCCTACTCTTCCTTCACTCACCAACCCAGTCATGTCATTGTAGAAGTCTATCAGGTTGGTCAGGCATGATTTCACCTTCGTAAATCTATGTCTGCACCTTTTTGTCCTTTGTACATTTGGAAATGATTTCCCAGATTAGTTGTCCCATCATGTTCCCAGGGATCAAGGTGAAGCTGACCACCCTGTAGTTCTCTGCATCCTCCTGCTTGAAGATAGCAATAACATCTCCTTTCTTCTAGTTGTCAGGAATCTTCCCTAGTTGCCATGACCTTTCCAGAGTGGCTTTGCAATGGCATCAGCTAACTCCTTCAGCACTTGTGGGTGTATCCCACCAGGTCTCATGGTGTGTGTCCAGTTTATATAAATGTTCCCCTGATCATCTGCTACCATGGGTAACTTTTCATTGCTCCAAATTTTCTCATGGGTCTCAGGGACCTATGATTTCTTAACATCAGCCTTACTAGTGAAGAGGGTGTGGGATACCTCAGCCTTTTCAGTGTCCTTTGTCACCAGGTTGCCTGCCCTGTTCAGCAGCAGGCCCACATTTTCACTCATTGTCTTTTTGCTGCTGATAGACCTGTAGAAGCTCTTCTTGCTGCCCTTCATGTCCCTCGCCACATTCAAATCCAGATGGGTTTGGTTTTCCTACCTCCATACCTGCCTACTGGAATGGTTTCTTTGTATTCCTCCTGGGTTGTCTGTCCATGCTTCCACCTCTTACTATTTCCTTTTTATGCTTGGATCAGGAGCTCCTTATTCATCATGCAGGTCTCCTGCCACCTTTGCTTCATTTCATACTTGTCAGGATGGACCATTCTTAAGCTTGCAGGAGGAGATCTTTGAAAAGCAGCCAGCTCTTGTGGACTCCTCTTTTCTCCAGGGCTGTATCCCATGGCACTCTACCAAACAGGTCCCTGAACAGGCAAAAGTCTGCTCTCTTGAAGTCCAGGATTGTGATTCTGCTTTTTTGTCTTGCTCACTTCTCTCAGGATCCTGAACTCTACCATCTTATGATCACTGTTGCTACGGCTGCCCTGACCAGTTCTTCCTTGACTGTAAGAATTGGATGTTCATAACGTTTTCCCCTTATGAGCTGTTCAATCATCTATGAGAAGGTCTGTGTAGGAGAGGATGGTGTCG